ATCTGTACTCACGTTTCTATTTCGTGTAACACGTTGCACAATACATCATAAGGATTAATTTGTTGTCATCTTGTAGTATGAGAAAATATGCATAAGCAATTGTGAAGCATAGCTGAAGAAAAATAATATATGTATATAACGTAATGGCAGTTACTTGCACATTGAGGTGCCTATAGCACCAATAGCACTATATTATGATGTCGTTTTTCAAAGATTTAATCGTGATTACTTTCTATGACTAAATTATACAAGGTCTGCCAAAAGTTCGGTAACGGCTTATAACGGTAATTATTTCAAAAAATAATGATTTAGAAAAAAATATTTGAACAAAAGTTTTGAGTTTAAGAAAACTATCAGGTATTGATAATTGTTGGGCTTATAATGACCTTGAAAATTGTTATTAAAATCAATATAAAAATCTTAAATGGAACCCCCTATTTATCGTTACATATTTTTATAGCTGACGTTGAGGCGTTTTCGAAACACTGGTTACTCACCTGTCTTCCATAAGAACTTGCCGAGTTATAGAGCTTGAAGTTTGCAATACCGCCGGCATGAGCATTGTCCTTTGGAAGCTACAACCTTTTCCCACTTTTCTGGTAACACATGGATTCCGCAGTAGAAAAATTCAGGTTCTTTCTAGGCGACCTAGTCATTGAGCTATTTTTTGATATCTTCGAAAGAACTGAAGTGCTGCTCAAAAAGGCCATACTGCATCGACCGAAACAAATGGTAATTTGAAAAAGCAACGTCTGGTGAATAGGGCGGGTGGGGTAAAATATCTCATCCAAGTGCTTTCAAATTTCCCTTCACTAATAGTGCAACATGTGGTCTAGTATTGTCACGGAGAAGAATAATTTTATCATATCTTTTGGCGTTCTGCGGGTATTTTCCGTTGGGCGCTCGATTCAAATTGAGTAATTTTTGTCGTTAGCGTTCATCATTGATGGTGTGACTTGATTGCGGGAACTCATAATACACTACACCGACTTGATCCCAATGTACAGCATGACCTTCTTTCTATAAGTATCCTGTTTTGGTGTTGATGTTGATGATTTAGCGGGATGTACTCATTATTTCTTGCGCTTAGGATTGTCGTAACGAATCCATTTTTCATCGCCAGTCACAATTCAATGTAAAAACGACTTCTGTATTTGTCCTTGAAGCAACAATTCTCAAATGGTTAAACGTTTTGCAATGTCTCTTTCTCTCAATTCATGTGGGACCCAGTTTCCGAGTTTCTAGATCATTCCTATTGCTTTTAAACGTTTACTAACGGTGAGCTAATCAATATTTAATGTTTCTGACAACTCTGAATGTCTGACATGAATCTTCTTCTAGTAATACTTACAATTCTCCAACTTCAAACTTTTTCGGTTGACCAGGATGTTCCTTGTCATTCACGTCAAAATCGTTGTCTTTGAATTGTCTAAACCAATCTTTGCAAGTTATTTCAAATAGAACATGCTCCCAATAAGCATCTACTAGCAAACGATGACTTACAGCAGTAGATATCTCGAGGTGAAAGTAAAAAAGTAATGTTTCTCGCAAATGCTCTTTTTTTGGTACAAAATTTGACATGTTCAATGCTATAAAAAATGGTATTCTTTATACTATGATCTAATGTCATACATTGATTACTAAAGCTTATTCACTATATTTTTATATACATCAACAGTCATTTTCGGTCATGTTGAAGTAGCACAACTATTGACCTCTCTTTGTCAATATCAAAAATTAATTCAAGCGTCTAATAGAAAAATCGGCGTCATTGCGAATAACGACTTTACAATATTTTATTTCATTATGTAAGAGTTAATACGTGAATATTTTGAAGGAAATAGAAAAATTGAAGCACAAGTAATATTTTGTTTTACAACGTATTGTCACATACGAAACCTGATTTCCTTGATAGAATGACAAAAAGCAGGACCGATCAATTAAATTAGTTTTCGATTAACTTGACATATACTTTTTAATTTCTTGAGATCCTGAGATACTCTATCTGAAGCAGTTTTTAAGATTTAACGCGCGAATATCTCGAAGGAAATAGAAAAATTCCAGAATAAGAAGTATCTTGTTCTGCAACGTATTGTCATATGTGAAACTCGATTTCTTTGGTCTAATGGCAAAAACACTACCATCCAATTAAATCAGTTTTCGATTTATTTTACGTATAGCTTTAATTATTTAAGAAATTTATTTTACTGCGTGTAATTAATTAACATTTAGTAAATGAATATTTTAAAATAATGTGGGAAGATAGCAGCATATTAAATATTAAGTTCTGCAACGTATTATCATATGCGAGGTCGGAGTATTATTCTATTTTTATTACTCGCTACATTTTGATAGAAGATAGAATACTTTTATAGATATACGTGTTGTGTCCTTGATGTTAGTGCACGGAGATTTTAGGAGTTCAGCGCCGCGGTTAAGTGAGGTAATTCTGTGAAGGCGAAAAATTGTAATCACTTGTTACAAAAATAGAGTGTTATTTTTATAACAAAGATCTTGTCTGTAAAATTGAATTCCGACCGAATCCGACAGAGATTTGCGTGATTGCAAGATAGCGTGCGTAGTTTAGTTAGTTTTAGTAGTTGTTATGAACTAGCTGTTTGAATGCCACTCAAATCTAAAAATAGAACTATTTGATAGAACTTCAGATTCTAGTCAATTAAAAATAAAAATTTACTTGAGTGGCCCTGTTTCATGCAGAATAATATGGAAAACTATCTTTGTATATGATAATATTGGGTAAGTGCAAAAGTTCGTGCGGAGTTTGTGAGTAAAAGTCAGACAGTGATTAGGCAAACAAAGTTCTTTATTCAATCAATGATATATTCTCCATCGTTGTCTATAATCTTTTTCCAACGTTCTGGCAGCATACGGATGCCCCGATCATAAAAACTGCGCGGTTTAGATTCGAAGAACGAAGACACGACGTTTTTTAAGGCATCCGAAGAGTCAATTTTTTTTCCATTTAAATGATTTTGCAATGACCGGAACAAGTGATAATCAGAAGGTGCGATATCAGGAGAATACGGTGGATGAGTTAGGACATCCCATTGCAGGCTGTTCAGTTTGCGCAGCGTCTGTCTCGAAACGTGTGGTCTTGCGTTGTCGTGGTGAAAGACTACGCCCTTGCAATTTGACAAAATCGGACGTTTCTGTTTGATTTCTCGATTCAGATTGGTTAATTGGCGACAGTACTTTTCCGAATCAATCGTTTGACCAGCGGGGAGAAACTCAAAATAAATTATGCCCTTGCAATCCCACCAAACACAGAGCATCACCTTCATCGGGTGTAAACTGGCCTTTGCCATTGCTTCACCATGCTCACCTGCCTGTTTCCATGTGCGTTTGCGCTGAACATTGCTGTACAGCACCCATTTCTCATCGCCCGTCACTAATTGATCCAAAAACGGCTCGTTTTTGAGCCGCCCGAGTAAAAAAACGGCAGCAGAAACTCGCTGGATTTTGTTCCTCTCCGTCATCAAATGGGGCACCCATACATCGAGCTTCAAATCGAAACCGATTTTTTTTAAACGCCGAAAAGCGGTTGATCGGTAAACGTTAAGTGCTGTAGCAACTTCATCTGTTGAATACGACATAGCTGGTAAATGAGAATTTTGTTACATCTTACGTGACAGTATCAGACATGTCATACATCACGACTGGGTAATGCTAATGCCGGCGGTACCGTAACTTTCAACCCTCATAACTCGAAAAGTACTGATTAAAAAAACGTTTCATTATAGCGTTTTGGAAAGCTCTCGAGGTAAGCTATAAGAATATGTATTGAAAAATGGGGGTTTCTATTTAAGAAATTAAAGGTGACCTTCACGTGATCTTCAAACGACTATTCAAGGTCAAACTAATGACACCATCTTATGTGCCCCTCGAAGTCACAAAACTTTTGTCTGAAACATTTTTCTTTAAAATGTCGCGTTTACGAAAAAATCGGGTGAGACGGGTGGTTTGGGACACCCTGTATATACGCTATTAATATTATTTCATTTCACGTAACTGTAAATTGTCAATTCTTCTTAAAACCAATAGTTATAATACAAAAATATGTAGATATGATACGCTCGAGCTGACGTACTTTAACCGGAAGTGCAAGGCATTGAAGTCGTGTAGGACTTTACGTCCAATTAGGGAACGAAGCACAGCGCGTACTTCGATCTCGAAGAACGATTTGGATTGTAACCCACATTCGCCGGTCGTTCACGTAATGTGTACTTCGCGAAAGTAGTCAAGCGGGTCCCTTTCGAATGTCACGTGCACGGCATTATTTTATGTGTATGCGGATGCAAGTAACACGCCTTTTCTCAAGAAATTGTGAGAGATGACTCGCAGATCAAACAAATTCCACGCAGCTGCACTTTCCGAGCTGCGCAGTAGCTATTATTTGTCGAATTTCACGATGTTATATAAAATATAGTATATTGATGACAGCTGGTGTATTATTAGCGTCAGTTTCGCTTATACATCTTGTCTGCTTATGCATATTAGTAATGTATTGACTTTCACTGACGTGTTCATTCACTTTCAGCCGCAATATTCTCAAACTTATGAGAGATGTTCACTCTTTATTAGTCATTATTTTCAAACTGTGATAAAAATCCCTGCGAAAATTCCCGCTTCTGAATTCAGATTGGACAAATCTAACATTAATCCTAAGCATTTCCAGAAAACAGGTTGAATTTCTCATTCGACTCGCAGATTGATTGGAATAAATTATTCGCGATGTCTATTACACAATTAACTCGACTCGGATCCGCAACGGTTTCGCGTCATTCGCCCGCACGATATATATTCGTGACTAATATTTCTCGGATCACCGATTGAAAAATCACGTAGCCAATCATCACGGTTACAGTCAATCAAACGTTCACATTGTTATTCGCTACTTTCCTTTCTTACGACGGATGATGCGGCCCGACAAATTCCGCTTGTCCGACCGATTTTTTTCCGATGATATACTTTTTAATTAGCTTCCAGGTGTGCGAAGCGTTCGGCCGTATCGCGCATGCATTGATCTGCTCGCAAGTAATAGAAAGGCGGAAATCTGTGAACGTGAGTCCAAGAGCCCCTTCTAACAAAGATGAAAGTAACCAGCAGTTCTTCGCGGCATCACGAGCAATTAGACCGCAAGATCGCTTAAGATGCAGCCGTCGCCCAGTCACTCCCTCTCCTCCACCTATCCTCTCTCCATCATTTTTCTCTCTCTTTTGCTTCATCTAACCAAAGCGTAGCTTTCTCAAGTTCTGGGTCAACGGGTCTGGCGGTGAGCTGCAACCGAAACGGGAATAAAAAGACGCCGGTTTGGTCAAGCCCAACCCGACTCGTTACTCCGAATACGTCTTGCACTCTCGGTACTCCAACATCTTTCACACGGTGTTCTTGTCCTGATCATTGACACCCTTTCTTTACTTGGTGCACGCACGCACGACATAGAATCTTGGTCACGAAGAAAGAGTACATCTCATACAAGCGAGCGAGCGAGTCTCCATAAGTATATCCGCTTTCGTTTAGGTTAATGCTATGCTGGGAAAAAAAATTAGATAAAAAATACTGCCTCAGATTTATGCGAATTTTGTTGCACGAACTGTAACTGAACTTGGTAAATATTTACATTAAGAGAAACACTTCAGAACGACTTTGATTTTGACATATATTGTTCTAAGCAACTTCCATTATAGAAATATCCGGCGGCAATTTTTTAAATAAAAATTATAAACAAAATAATGCACAAAAATATATGAAGAAATCAAAATTTATTATTCATTTATTTATTATTCATTCATTTATTTAATAGTTATAAGCAATCTTAACAAATCAACGTTATAAGCAAAGTAATAGTACACACAGAAATAATTCAGTTCTTTAATAATATATAATAATAATAATAATAATTTATAATGTTCCTGGCGTATCCCGTATTTTGGTATCTCACTGCGTAAGCTGCGCCACATCCTTTCAATTTTCTCTATATGTACGCCTGCGTCAGGATCAACAAAACTTTTACTATGATTAACCTTTCGATGGCATTAATTTTCATATTGTAAAACGCTGTCTGAGCGCGAGCGTGGAATAGCAGACAGTGCACCGGTCTATTATATTAGCGGTCTGGGGCTCGATACCGATAGAAACCAAAATATTTATGTTCGTGTCTCCTCTCGGAAAAAAGCGGCAACTTTACTAAGAGTATCTTTGCTAAGAGAACTTCTGTAAATAATATGCTGTTCAGAACTACGTTTAAACTGTAAGTTCTATATGTCTGTCTATAATCAACGTGCGCACCACAGACATATGAGAGAGGTCACCATGTCCGGATACAAACAATAGAACTGAGGGAAAGCGCTATAAGCCTTCCAATCATCAATATATAATGGTTTCCGGAAATATATATTTTTTTATTATAGGCAAAAGTGTTCTTGTTGTTCTGTTCAGGTACCAGATATATAAATACTCGTTTAGAATGCCTTTCTACATCTCCAAATACCCATTGTTTTTGCACTATTCTTTCAGTTATATTTCTTTTTCCCTATTTTTGCTTTGTTAATTTCGACAATTATTCCAGGACCACCAATTTGTATATTATTTTGGCGCAATCATAAATATAATAACTAAAAAATTATATTATATAATATAATTTTGTTAAAATTAATGATTCTATATTAATTTTATTATTTGTAAAATTTATTATTTGTAAAATGTATCTCACGACAAAAGTTAGTCCTGTCGATTACTGACTTGCTATTTATTTATAACTTATATTGAATAAATATTTGTCTTGGTGGACGCATCATAAGAAAATAACAAATAAAACAAACAAACAATTTTTACATGTTCTGTCGTAGCTTGAAGAGACCATATACCAGATAATGTACTGATACAAATATGACATATTTTTGCTTTGGTTTTCGTTTTATTATCTTCTTATAGTACTACCTGTTCGTAAAATGTATTATTGAAGAAGATGCATTATAATTTAATTTAATTTTTTTATTGCAATATGGACAAACAATAGCATTTCGAATAACTTTCTTTTCATATAAATATTTAATTAGATTTTCGTAATTATATATAAGATGTATAAAATTCTGAAACAATTTTGTAAAAGAAATTTTTACAGAACAGTTTGAAAGGCTCGAATGTACTAACTTATTTTGTTTATCGTCAAGTAATCTTCAATATTAAAGGCAGTATAGAAAATATATATTTGTAACATATATGTAAGGTGTCCCATTTTAATTGACCACCCCTGTTAACTTCGCAGGAAATAGTCAGATAAAAAAGTATTTTCTGCAAAAATTGTTTGGTTTGGAGGAGGACATCCGATAATAACATTGAACTTTACGTTACTGTTCAAGATCAAATGAAAGTCAACTTAAATTTTTTTTAGTGGAATAACCTACTTTTGACGCCAAAAATCGATAGAGGAGGAAATTTTACGTTAAAAACGTGGGATAACATGTGGGGTCCGATTGATCCAAGAGGATCTTATGAAGGTCACAATGGAGGTACAATGTTCTTTGTGACGAAATAATGAATTATAAGTAAGATCGTTTCTGATCCAGCCTAATTTAAGACCAGGAAATGACTTAGCCAGTCAAGACAATGTCTGGATCTCACGATCCAATCAAGGTAAGATCGGAGAATTACCCAGTAAAGGCAAGGTTTAAGCATTATCCAGTTAATAAAAACAATATCTGGGTTTGTATTTAATCACTTCAGATGTTCGAAAACAAATAAAACAAACAAACAATTTTTACATGTTCTGTCGTAGCTTGAAGAGACCATATACCAGATAATGTACTGATACAAATATGACATATTTTTGCTTTGGTTTTCGTTTTATTATCTTCCTATAGTACTACCTGTTCGTAAAATGTATTATTGAAGAAGATGCATTATAATTTAATTTAATTTTTTTATAGCAATATGGACAAACAATAGCATTTCGAATAACTTTCGGCCTCTCACTTGTATGCACAGGTACAGTCGACGCCGAAAATCGCACAAAACGTGTACAAATTGTACAAAAAGGATATATGCATTAATAGTTCTGCATGACTCTCTGATGCGGTCTTTCACATTCTTTAAAATCGTAGGCTCCTCGGAATAAATTTGACTTTTGATATAACTCCAAAGATAAAAATCTAGAGGCGTCAAGTCTGACAATATTGCAGGCCATTTTTGAACTCGGCTTCCCATCCCAATCCTATTAGGCAATCTATTAGGGAATCTTTTGTTTAAATATTCTTTAATGGCTCTATGACGGTGCTTCGTCTTGTTCAATCCATATTCGGTTGCACATGTCAACATGTTTCAAGACATCAAGCAGGTTATTTCTGAGAAATGTTAAGTAATTGGCCGCAGTGAAGTTTTCCCCACAGAAATATGAATCAACATTAACATTTATCAGAATGCCTGCTAAGACGTTAATAGAGCACTGCTTCTTGAAGTATTGGCCTTTTTGCCAATATGGATTAACAGCTGAATAATAATGGCAATTGTATTTATTAACGCCACTTCTGTAGCTGAATATGGCATCGTCTGAAAAAACCACTTCAGAAAAAAAAAAATTCCCTCGGATCTCGAGCCCAATTATTAAAACATAAACGGCGTTGGAAATTCCCCGTTTCCAATTGCTAGATTGGATGTGGTATGGATGGAAGTTGTAAGACTTAAGCACATGACTGATTTAGGTATGCTTTGTTACTTTTCTATTTGTCGCGTTGATACCCGTAGTTCTAAAAAAAGCAGTATCGAGAATACTCGTGGCTTTATCAATGTCCGATCTTCGGCATATTCGTCTAAGAGTGTCCTTTTGTGTCCTTTCATATAGTCTTTTAATTACACTCTTATTAGGACGACATCTATTTGGAAATATTTCGCATAAATTCTTTCAGCTAGCTATAACTATTCTAGGTCTTACCTAAAATTCTGGTTAGCCAGAATTACGAGACAATAGAAAATCTTAGTAAAAACTCTGGAAATATCGGAATCTAGGCAAGTGACGCTAGCAAATGAAAGACACAAGTTATAATTATTAGGTGCTTGAATTAATTCTCGCTGTTGACAAATAGAAGTCAGTAGTTATACTATTTCAACATGGCCGAAAATGACTCTTGATGTATATGAAAGTACTGTCAACAAGCTTTAACGATTAGTGTATGACATTAGATAAAGCACAAAAAACAACATTTTTGATTGCTTTAAAGATGTCGAGTTTTGTACCAAGAAAAGAGCACGGGAAGCACTACTTTTCTATTTTTATCTCAAGAAATCTGTTACTGAAAGTGAAGGCTTATGGAGAACATGATCCATTTGAAACAACTTGCAGAAATTGGTTTAGACGATTCAGAAACAATGATTATGACGTGAATGACAAAAAGCGCCTCGGTCAGCCGAAGAAGTTTGAAGATAGAGAATTGGAGGTATTACTGAAAGAAGATTCATGTCAGGCGCTCAAAAAGTTGTAAACATTAAATGTCGATGAGTCAACATTTAACAAACGTTTAAAAGCAATATGAATAATCCGGCAGCTAAGAAACTGGGTTTCATATAAAATTAAAGAAAGAGACATTGCTAAACGTTTAACCATTTGTGAATTGCTGCTTCAAAGACAAATATGAAAGTCGTGTTTAGATCGAATTGTGACTGGCGATGAAAAATGGATTCGTTGCGACAATACTAAGCGCAAGAAATCATGAGTCCTGATGAACCATCAACGACAAAACAAAATATTCATAGAAAGAAGGTCATGCTGTGCATTTGGTGGGATCAAGTCGGTGTAGTATATTGTAAACTACTGTAATCGAGTCAAACCATCAATGCTGAACGCTACCGACGACAATTACTCAATTTGAATCAAGCACTCAAGGAAAGACGCTCACAATACGCCAAAAGATATGACACAATTATTCTTCTCCGTGACAATGCTAGACCACATGTTGCAGCACCGGTGAAAGAAATTTTGAAGGCACTTGCACAGGATGTCTTACCTCACTTGCCTTATTCACCTGATATTGTTTCTTCAAATTATCATTTGTTTCAATCGATGCAGCATGGCCTTTCTGAGCAGCGCTTCAGTTTTTTCGAAGATATAAAAAAATGGCTCGATGACTCAATCACCTCGAAAGAACATGAATTCATCTACTGCGGAATCCATGTGTTATCCGAAAAGTGGGAAAAGGTTGTAGCTTCTGAAGGACTATACTTTGAATAAGATATAATGTACCGTTCTTTTAAAATAAATATAAGTTTTTGTAGCAACAAACAGCGAGAATTAATTCAAGCTCCTAATATACCATTCATATACTCATCAATTCTTCTTCTATTTTCCTGATTTATTAATTCCTTGAAGTAATTCGTCCATTTCCTGATAACTTGTCTTTCATCAGTTATTACTTTACATTCTTGGCTTGTGCATGCGCATAGGTTGAGCTTAAAACTTTCTTTAACCCTTTTTGTTCCTGAATAGAAATTTTTTATGTGTTTTGTTTGAACTTTAATCACCTTCAATTTCTGTCAATCTCTTATTAACTATTTTTTTTTCTTCTTCCTTTTGTAAATCTTATGAGCTGTTCTTCTTTCTTCTACATATTTTTGGTAAGTCTTGTTTCTTTGTAGCATCTTTTTTTATTGCTTTGTTTCTTTCGTTTGCCGCACTCTTATACTTGTCGTCAAAGCAATCATTGTTATGTTCCATTTTTCCCCAGCACTTCTTTGCTCGTTTCTATTACTATATTATTAAGTTACTCCCATCATTATTCTATGTTTCCATTTGTGCTAGCAAGCTTAGCTTGTTCATTCTTTCTTGGTATCGTATCCTTGTCTTTAGACCATGTATCAGTTTATGTGTGTTTCATTTAATTCTCTTTTGTTCTTTTTCTTTTTTTATATTAGTTATTTTGGATCTAAATACAATTCTTACCATAAAATTGTCAGAATCACCGTCTGATCCTCTGCAGGACCTTATATCTAGTATAAATATGGCGTGTCGCTTGTAAATCACATGGACTATCTGGTTATTCTGCTTGCTGCTTGATATCTTCGATGTAAATTTATATATTTTTTTATATTGAAAGCTTACGCTTTTAATCCATAGTCCGCTTTCAGTCGCGAGTTTACATAATATCGTGAGTTTCATTATGTAGTGAGTATTTATCTGCTATCTCTTCTACATATTCCTTTTTTCTTATTTTTAATCGTTAAAGTCTTTCGCTATGATGAATATATTATGTCGGTTTGTTTTCTCACGTAGTCCCATTAGTTTATTATAGAATTCATCCTTATCTTTGTCAGTGTTATCTTCAATGTAAGTATAGGCAAAAATTATTATGATCTTGTTGAATTTTCCTTTTATTCTCAGTCTTGCATTCACCGGTTCACACTCCATTACTGCTCCTTTTTCTCTTTTATCAACTATAAATCCTATTTCATGCTACCCTCTGTTGTCTTCGTAAACGCTGTGCATAACACTATATTTCTTCTTCTCTATTATTCCGGCCCCCTTCTATCTTATTTTTTGTATTACAATTATATCTATTTCACTAGTTCATTTGCTATTTATTGCATTTACTCAGCCAGCTTCATTGTATTTATCTTCCATGTTGCTACTCTCAAACCTCTGTGCTTTGGACTTTTCTTTGGTCGTCATAAGTTCCGTATATATACGTCTTGATTTCGTGGAAATATCTGTGATTCCATAATATATAGTTTTTTTTTACGTGGTAGGTTTCAGTCCATCGCCCAAATTTCCCTAGAAATGTTAAATCCCCTATTCATTCTAAATCCTCAACTTCTGCAGTGGTTTTTCGTTACCAAATTTTCGTTAAGAATTAACTAGTGCCACAGCTGGAAGATAGAATAGGGAATGGAGAATGAGAAGTCGCTTCATTTCCTTAGATCTGCAATTCGGTGCACTTCATTCTCTTTTTATCATACGGTGTCTGCCAAAAGTTACGGAACGGCTAATTATTTTAAACAATAACGATTAATAAAAATGTTTTGAATAAAAATTATAGGGTTTAAAAAAAGCTATCAGACATTAATAATTGTTTGGCCTTAGAATGACGTTGAAAAGCGTTATTAAAGACAGCGTAAAAATCTTAAGTAGAATTTTTATTTTTGCTACACATTTTTATAACTGAAGTTGAGACGTTTCCAAAACATTGGTAAAACACCTTTTTTAGAATAGGAAAATAATTATTTAGAATTATCTGAGTTACGGGGCTTGAAAGTTACATTACCGCCGACATTAGTATTACTCAAAGTGTACCGCATGGGGATTGCACGGTTGGATTTACATCTCTTGTGTGTGTGTGTGTGTGTGTTTGCGCGCTCGCGCGCGCGTGTGTGTGTGTGTGTTACAGAGATATGGATCCCACATTCACTCACACACAGCAGAGAGGGGTCGCGCCCTGGGGTCCTAATCTCTGCTGTCACACACACACACACACACACACAAACACACCCACACACATACAAAGAGGTGTAAATCCGACCGTGGAACATCCACGCGGTACACCGTGAGTAATGCTAATGCCGGCAGTATTGCAACTTTCAAGCCCCATAACTCGGAAAGATCTTATGGAAAAAAGATACGTAACAAGTATTTCGGAAACGACTCAATGTTAGCTATACGAATATGTATCGAAAAATAGAGGGTTCCATTTATAATTTTTACGACTTTAATAACGCCATTTATAATTTTTACGACTTTAATAATTTTAAGGTCAATCTAATGCCAAACAATTATCAGTGTGTGACAGCTTTTTTTAAACCATACGACTTTGTGCAAAACATTTTTTTAATTATTATTTTTTGAAATAATTAGATGTTTCAGAACTTTTAGCAGACACTGTATATCGAATGTTTGTATATAAAAAAGGCTGAATTCCTTTTTAAAGAATTGTACTAATAAACATATTGATAATTTGTTTAGGGCATTTGTTTGTGGCTCAAGTTCTATGTAAGAAGTTAATAAAAATGAATTATAAATATTGATATTTTATATTAAGTGTACAACTTTGCTCTCGCGGATTTTTTTTAATTTGAGGCCTTATTGTAAAAAAAATGAAGATAAAGTTATGACTCAAAGTATTGTCCATCACTGGCCACTACTTTCTCCCATCTTTTGGGCAATGCACGAATCCCGCGTCGAAAAAACTGGTCATCTTTTGAGGTAATCCACGAATCTATCCATTTTCCGACTTCTTCATAAGACTGGAAGTGTTCCAGCTCAGCCAGGCCGTATGCCATTGATCGGAACAAGTGATAATCCGAAGGTGCAACGTCTGGAGAGTACGGCGGGTGGGATAGGACTTCCCATTTCAACGTTTCTAAGTATGTCTTGACCACTTTTGCAACATGGGTCGAGCATTGTCATGCTGCAAAATCACTTTCTCGTGTCTCTCGGCGTAGTGCGGCCGCTTGTCTTTCAATGCTCGGCTCAAACGCATCAATTGAGTTCGATACCGATCGCCTGTGATTGTTTCAGTTGGTTTCAATAGCTCGTAATACACTACNAGGCACTTCGAAATGGCTTGTTGAGTCACTTTCAATGATTGTGCCAGTTCTTTCTGAGTTCGACACCAGTTTTCATCAAGTAATGCCTCCAATTCAGCATCTTCAAAAATCTTTCCTCTTCCACCACTATGCCGGTTTTCGACGTGAAAATCACCGTTCGTGAAGCGTTGAAATCACTCACGACACGTTCTTTCACTAATAGCGATCTCACTATAGGTATTTGAGAGTATTTGATAAGCCTCAGCCGCAGATTTCTTCATATTGAAGCAGAAAAGTAAAACCTTCCGCAAATGACGAGAATTCGGCTCGTAAACTGACATCTTCAATCGACGATAACTTTATGGTACAGATACAAATCGACTAATGTAACTATTAGGTTATGTTGACAGATGCCCAAGTTAATTGTATGACGTATATGATCTATTTACTTTGACCACTAAGTTCCACTAAAGCCATCTATAGGAAAACGGCGGGAGCAAAGTTGTTCACCTAATATTATAGGAATTCTAGTTTGTTGACTCGCACGGCAGAGTCTATCAAGCATTAAGCAAAGTCCGGCTTCCGAAGGCATTCGGCAATATTGTAGTGAAATATTGTGTGTAGGAATAAAATTTTAGATCATAATATATGTTTGTTTTTAAATCATAGCACATGTTTTGATCTATCGGATTTTGCGCCGTTAGACGCATTCAAATGTATTGAGATTCAGTCTCTGAGCACAGATGTTTTCAAACACTTAAAGAGACTTCACATCTATGTATAAGAATACATAATAACAAAGAAAACATTGAGATATCTCTTGAGCCATTGGGAGATAGTTTAAAATCTATTATAACGAAATAATATGAAATTATAAACGAAATAGATCAAGCGCTTTCACTTTTGTCCGCCAGTCGATTGCACGCAAACGATCCTTGTCTCATACATTAAATAAATAACTTATAAAAGAAAGTTCAATGCTCCTGATTTCACATAATTTGGACATTCTGATAGGATTTTATGCGACATCTAGAAAAATTGTAAAGAATTTCTCTAAGTAAGGTCAATTATTTTATTCAATATAGCGCATTATATTAGTTACACAATCATCTCTGATGTATTTTTATGTTAATCGTGACTCTCGCGAATCTAATTAGCGACTAAGGCGTATTAAAGACTATCATCTGTTTTCAGAAGATGTTCAAACGGATCCCAATCAGAATGGAATCCATTATTCGAATGGGCAACGTATCATTGCGGAGAAGGTAATTAATACATCATAGTTCAAACATACTAGAAGTTATTTAATAATTATTTTTTGACTGTAGTATCATGCTGCAATCAATTATTTACGAAAGAATCTTCAAACAAACAAAATCATCAACGATTATTTCCAGTTCTAGTAAAAAGTTGTTCAGCTCGATTCAAAATTATTATGCAGTAATTAAAAACTGGTAAAATTTATTGTTTTTTCTTCCTCTTCTTCTCTCTGTATTGTTTTTACTACTTCGTTTATGTGTATTGTTACGCCCGTGTCTTGATACCCGCGCTTTTAGCGCCTGAACATATAGCTGATTCTCTTGGCAACGAGTCGTAAACAACAGATGATCAGCGTTGACGGATAAACAACGGGTTAAAGAGATTCTCTCTGGGGCGATTGAGTCGTTGTGACGTGTGCGACGGTCTTTAACGAAAGAGAGCTTGAGCCTGCGAGTTACGTGTGCTTCCTTGTAAATAGCAAATAAAGTTGAAGTTGTTTTCTTTTTAACGTTGTCTCGTTTTATTTCCCCGCGCGAGCGTAACAATATACTGATGGAACTGGAATGGTAGGTCCTCCCTCACTCAGTGCATTCTCCGGACCATGCTCCAACTGATTAATATTTGTTTCGGTCGATGCAAAACGCCTTAGAAGATATACCCTTCCATAATTACAAGGAAATCCAAAAATAGATACATGAGTGAATAGCGTCAAAAAACAGTGCATTCCTTCGAGGTGGGATTCAGCTATTACCAGAGAGGTGCAAGAAAGTACGAGGGTTGATCCAGAAATAAAGTTCCTATCAATTTTAAAAATAGACAACCTTGTTTATTTTCATAGAAATTTACATCGTTAGAAAGATGAAACTTTGCTCTATTTTTCTACATAATCGTCATCTTTTTCTACGCATTTTTGTAGACAGTGCTCCAATTTCTGTATCCCAATGTCGTATCACTCCGCCGCCAACCCCTTGAGGAAGCGTTTCACCTCTTCTTTGACTTCATCGTCGCTCCGGAAGCGTTGGCCACCCAAGTGTTCCTTTAACTTGGGGAATAAGTGATAATCACTAGGCGCGAGGTCCGGACTGTAAAGTGGGTGGGGCATGACCGTCCATCCTAAGTGTGTCAAAAGTTCCTGGGTTTGACGAGAGACATGAGGTCGTGCGTTGTCGTGAAGAAGCGTTACACCGGCTGTCAGTCGTTCTTGCCGGCGGTTCTGGATAGCTCGCCTGAGTTTTCTCAGTGTTGCACGGAGCGACGATGAAGTCAAAGAAGAGGTGAAACGCTTCCTCAACGGGTTGGCGGCGAAGTTCTACGACATTGGGATACAGAAATTGAAGCGCTGTCTACAAAAATGCGTAGAAAAAGATGGCGATTATGTAGAAAAATAGAGCAAAGTTTCATCTTTCCAACGATGTAAATTTCTATGAGAATAAACAATGTTGTCTATTTGTAAAATTGATGGGAACCTTATTTCTGGATCAACCCTCGTAGTAACATCCGAGTGAAAATACGAGGGTGGATCAAATATAAACAAACATTTTTAAATTGCTCGCTCGTCGGCATGAGGGGTCTGCAACGTTTTGGACAGTGGAGGGTGGTCACGCGGAAGGCGAGTAATAACGTTGGCACGCCACGTGTTTTTTACTCTCAGCAATAATCACTATGAGCGAGAAAGAGGTATACCCCGCAGTTACACAACATTTTATTATTAAGTTTCTCGTCAACGAAAATGTAAATGCTGTTGAAATTCGGCGCCGTTTACTCCCACAGTTCGGGGAAAGAACTTTTTCTTGGGCTCGAGTGAAGCAGTGGTGTGACAAATTTAAGAAAGGACGGGAGCGTATCGAAAACATTGCCCACCCGCGCCGTCCCTGCACCAGAATTACAGCGCAGAACACCGAGGTTGTTCGAGGACTCATTGAAGGCGATCGGCACTTAACTGTTCTTGAAATCTTTCAGGAACTTTAGTTCGAGCTGCCTATTGGTCAAAAAGGCGCGGCATTCCGATTAGAAGTTTGTTGCTTCTCCATGACAACGCCAGACCCCACACCGCAGCAGTAACACAACAAAAATTGGCTGATATGTTCTGGGCTGTCCTAGAACATCCTCCCTACAGCCCAGACCTGTCGCTGTGCGACTTCCATATGTTTGGATCACTTAAAGAAGCTCTTGGTGGACAGCGCTTCACAACGAACGAGGAGGTGCAGCAGTTTGTGTGCAATTGGTTTGATACACGCCCGCGAACTGTTTATGTACCGGGATTAAAAAATTACCAGACCGTTGGAGGAAATGTATAGATAAGATGGGGAACTATGTAGAAAAATAAGAGTAATGTAGATTAGAATTGATTTTGAAAAATATATGGTTTTTTTTGCAAAAGGCTTTATATTTGATCCACCCTCGTATTTTGATTAAGATAACACAACAAATTTTTAACAAATAAATGCTTAAATAACAAAAAAGAACAACGGATTTCAATGTAACCACCTAATATATGTTACAATTAAATAATGTAAGTATTAAATAAAACTCGAGCGTGAGCGTGGTATGGTAGATTGCGCATTAGTCTACTATAGGTCCCGTGTTCGCTCTCCGGCATAAACCAAAAAATTTTCACACGCTCGTAGCTTCTTTTCGGTGGCCCGGCAAACCACCAAAGAGTAATCTCTTGCCAAGAAAAAAAACTTCTCTCCAACTTTGCCGTTCGGAACCGGCGTTAAACTGTAGGTCCCATATGCATGTATACGATCTGTGTGCCCAGGTTCCTTAGGGCTAATAACCCACGTGGAGCGAAAAAGCATCTATTCAGAGACAAATAAAATACCCCGACGCTTAGCGGCACAATGAGGAAGAATAAGAAGGAATAAAAGTCACAAACTCCATTATTATCTGTTTTCATGTCCATCTTCTCCCATATACATGTATACGTACATTTAAATGTTGTGTAACAAAATCTTTTCATTTAATTTTTTTTTTCATTTCTTTTTTAATACGTTGACTGCCAACTACGAGATATCTCGTAAGTTGTTTACTTGTCCAGGACGCCAACTACGAGTTATCTCGTCGCTTCATTACTTGATTAAATCAAATTGGCTTCTTAGACCAGAATCGTGAAAAGTTCCGTGGCAGTCAACGTGTTAACATTATTATCTTTTATTATTAAATAACAACGTGTCATTATCAGATACATTTTATTTATTACAAAATATTAATAGATATTAATAATTTTTACCTTTTTCTAGGTTACCAAACTTCTTGCAAATCTTTTTAAACTGATAATATTTATTCAATAAGATAATATAATGTTATATATGGTTAAAACTTCTTCATATCTGTAAACACGTTTTTCTATAAAGATTGTGCAAAAGACCAAGAAATATTTCTTCACAAAACTGTAACAAAATAATGATATAACAAAAGGCAAATAATCAAAAAAGTATATAAAAAATTATTAATATTAAAAGAAATTTGAAACACACACCTAGTGATATGCACTAATAAACTTTGCACTTGCAACGGCTACAAATAACTTTATGGTTATATGGGGATATTTCCTCCTATTTTAAAAAAATTCCATATGTCGGAAAATCATATCATTACACATGGTTGAATTTGGCTTAGAATATATTTTTTTCTTGTAGAAAAAAAATTTTTATATTATAAAAAAATTGTTGAGTAGTAGGGTATGTTGACAATTATAACATTTTCCTAATATCTGATTTCAAATATCTGATACCATTACAAAATATTAATAAAATCATTTAATTTTTGTTTAGAAAATTGTTTTCTATTTCTTACACTTTTGACAATGCATGCTCCTAAAAAAAAAAACGATAGTTTTTAAATGAGTATTTTAAAAGTCCGTCTAGGCGCGTGTATAAAAATATTTGTCTCCTATTTTGGTTTGAATTACAATGCATTTCAGGCTCATTTCCATCGAAGGATACAGAGTTGATGTTCCTTGTTAGTGTCAGACAGAGAATTTCATTAAGTCCTGGCGGGATGTTATGAAGACGGTATACCGTGGGTGATATTTACAAGAGGACAACCAGGATCGTTTACTTCGATTTGGACGAGATTGGTACATGTTGTATTACTATTCTTTCACGAATCAATTATAAAATGATCAGATGCAACTCTCAAGCATTTGTAAGAAAAATACGTTTAATTTATTCACTATAAAATTGATTTTTATATATAGATTTACAACAATGATTGTCAACTATCAGCTGTACCGATCAGCTGTAACCGAAAGCGTAATGCGTCTAAGAGGATGAGATAATGCCTGTTATATATTCGATATTTTCTTGTTAAAAATATGTTGCGTGATCACATGCAACATGCATGTAAATGCATAATGAAAGAAAACGAAAAAAAAACTCGAACTTGCAACACGCAACATTTCGTCTTTCTCTGTCGCCTTATGCTCTCGATTATTAGTTTATCATCGTCGCTTTAAGTTGATACATAAGCATCAAGGAAAACTTGAAACACAGTTTTCTCGCGAATGCTTGAGAATTGCATCTAATTATTTTATTATGAGATCATTACATAATAAATCACATTGATTTGTGAGAGAGTAGCACTACAACAAATACTAACATTGTCCAAATCAGAGGGAACAAATCCTGATGGTCCTTTAGTTAGAAGTCACGCTTGATTCATCATTATGTTAAGGAAGCGAAACGTATTATGATTTTTCATACTGTGATTTTTCAGTATGCGGAGCCCGAAGTCCTCGACATTAATGCACTCAACAACACTAAGAGAACTGATCGGGAGGTGCTGTTCTTCAATCGCGTGCCGAAAGTTGGTTCCCAGACATTTATGGAGCTGCTAAGAAGGCTGTCGATAAGGAACATGTTTTCGTTTAATAGGGACCGCGTTCAGCGAGTCGAGACGATACGTCTCGCGCCTATCGAGCAGGTAAGGCGACCTCCGGAAAAAACCCATTTAATTACCATCAAATGCGCGGTGGCAGCCGCTAGTGTAGTTATCCGTTTTATTTACAATCCCGTTGCCCGGGCCCTATAAAATGATAGAAAAATCGGATGATATGGTTGATCAAGTGATTCGCGCGTTAACGGTTCTAACTTTCTCGTCTCTTTCGGTGTGTGGCTCATTTCCGTCTCAATGATATGGCGGGGGAGGAAACGCAGATGACGTTACCTTTGAGTAAAAACTAGTTATTTAATACAGGGATAGAGTTAAATACGAGAGAAATGATGATTGGAAGAAGAGTACTTACTGCTTTTGAAATTCGTGAAATTCAAAGTTCAAATTAATATCATTTCAGCAAAATATTTGCCTTTCTCACTTTAAAGATTTTGTTGGTAAATATGAAATTAACAATTCGAAGTGAAGGGGAATGTATAGGGCAAAAATGAAAATTTGCGTAAGTGATTGTTTTAAATATAAAAAATAAACACAAAAATTCTTTGATTTAAAGGAGTTCTTGGGTTATTTAAGTGCTTTAATATTTACAATGATTTTTTTTTTATACCAGCAATTGTTTTTTACAGAACAACCTTTAAAATTTAATCATGCTGTTCGCGATTTTTCTCTATCTACATGCCCTTGTTTTCAAGTTATAAAAATAGATGTTTAATTAAGATTGTAATGAAATCAACTTTACATATGGTTTGTGGATATCAAAAATATAATAGTAATATATATATTAGAAATGGCCAGTATTTAGTAGAGTATTATTGTTGCTTTAGATTCTTTTTAAAAATAACGCGTCCGTATGTTGGAGAAATATTATATTTGAATGTTTTTTGTCATAGCATATAAGGATGCATTTTTTGAAAATTTGAATACAAAACTAGTTCATCCTTATTATCAAATTATTTCTTTGATTGCGAAGCCGTGTGCTTGGAATACAGGAGAAACAATCGTAATATACTGTTGGTCATAAGACGGGAGAACAGTTTTTTTTATTGGGTTGGCAAATAAGTTCGTTCGGTTTTTTGAATGGTATAAAATACAATTTATTTAATATACAAAATATATACTAATCAATAACGTATTGACCATTCTTTTCTATGACTTCTTGCCATCTTTTTACCAATTCCATAATCCCACATTCATAAAACGTCTAAGGTTTACCGGCAAAAAACTAATCCAGTTGCGTTTTAACAGCTTTATTATTAGCAAAGTTTTTCCCGTTCAGAGAATTTTGCAGCTACCGGAACAAATGATAATCAGAGGGTGCCAGGTCCGGTGAATAAGGAGGGTGAGGCAAAACATCCCAGCCAAGCCTTAACAATTTGTTCCGAGTAGTTAATGGAATATGGGGTCTGGCATTGTCGTGGTGGAAAACGACTCCCTTTCGATTTGCCAATTCTGGAAGTTTCGAACATATTGCTTGATTCAATTTCGTTAATTGGGAGCAATATACAGTTGAATCGATCGTTCTGTCTGATGATAAGAGCTCATAATAAATGATACCTTTATAATCCCACCACACTGAGAGCATAATTTTCTTCGGGTGCGATACTGCCTTCGAGGTTGTTTGTGGTGGTTCACTGCTGCTTCCCCATGATCTTTCACGTACTACGTTATCGTAGACGATCCACTTTTCATCTCCCTTAACCAACCGTTTAAAAAATGGATCGTTTTCTTGGCGTTTCAGCAGCGCGTCGCAGATGGAAATGCGAGCGGTTAAGTTGGCCTCGGTCAATTCGTGCGGCACCCAAACATTGAGGCGAGAAATGTATCCCAACTAACGCAAATGGTTTTCTACACTTGTGTGGGATATATTAAGTGTTGTAGCAATCTCTCGTACTGTTTGCGATGGATTTTTGTCGACGGTATTCTTTATTAAAGCTGAATCAATCTCTGCTGGACGATCAGAACGGAACGCGTCACTAACATCAAAATCTCCAGAACGGAATTTGGCAAACCATTTTTAACACACACGTTCTGTTAACCCGTTAACGCGCAAAAGACGTAATTTGGACGCTCAAGTTTGAATTAATACCATGTAATGTATTCGATTGAAAAATGATTGAAAACCACTGTACCCTATGTTTTCGAGGGTGCTCTTTCGAATGGTGATGGTGAAGAAAATTAAAAAAATTTTTCAACCACGAGAAAATTGATAATAAAAAAAAATTGTGATTTTTTTATATTTTTTATTTTTTTAAACGACTTTTTCGTACTCTATACATTTTTTATGTGCCTAAAACTAGAAAATCTTGCGTCCATGGCATTTGAACTTCAAAATGGTATAATTAGATATGTCTGAAAAATTTTTTGGTGAAGCACAATGGCGGCTGAAAGAAGAACTTTCTTTCTTAAATTTGACGAATTTTTATCTCAAAAATTATAAATTTTATCGAAAAATTCCTAAGAACAAAAATGTCTTAGACGTAGTCAAGGAACACTCTCAAATTTTTTCAGAATTTTCCGAGGCAATTTTTGATTTTGTAGAAAATACGGAAATATAATTTTCCAAAAATGTCTAAAAAAATGTCGAAAAAATTTTTGAGTGTTCCTTGACTAATTCTAAGACATTTTTGTTCTGAGAATTTTTTCGCTAATGTTTATAGTTTTCGAGATAAAAATTCGTCAATTTAAAAAAAAATTTCTTTTGAAAAAGTATTAAATATTCATAAAAGTAACAGAGATAAAAAAAATTAATTGTATAAAATTTCATTGTTTGAAAATTTATTGCAATCTCTACGAATTCTTTGTCTTAAAAATAATTGAGTTGAATTAGATTATTCTTATTTAAAAACTAAATCTAAAAATTTAATGAGAAATTATTCTTATTTAAAGGCTAAAACAACAATAGTATGTGTGTCCAGAATTAGGGACGTTTAAATATTGGTTTAGATTTGTCCAGATATTAGTACTTCATATTTTAAATACTGTTTAGAATTTCATTTTCCCGATGTAATTTCATCCACGATTCGTAGATTTAATGCTTCGACTTCTTTTATATTCGTAGCTCCAGCTCGCTAGGATGGTCAGCAGTTACTCAGAACCATCTGTCTACGTAAAGCATGTCTGCTTCACTAACTTCACAGAGTGAGTACCACGGGACAATTGCAATTTGGATAATTGCTACATCATTTTCTACTTTCCTCTGTCTTCGTCGTCAGATTCCATCTGCCGGAACCAATTTACATCAACATAGTCCGTGATCCTGTGGAGAGGGTCATATCCTGGTATTATTACGTAAGAGCACCATGGTATTATGTGGAGAGGAAGCAGATCTTTCCGGATTTGCCATTGCCCGATCCAAATTGGCTCAAGAAGGATTTCGAGACGTGCGTTCTCAAGGGCGACCGTGAATGTAGATACTTGCAAGGTGAGATCCACGAGGGCATTGGTGATCATCGTAGACAAACGCTTTTTTTCTGTGGACACAGCGAAAAATGCACGTAAGTATGAATTTTTGTCATAAATTTTAACAACAAATTTTTTAACAACAAAGAGTTCCGCTTGCAGTTTGCAATAATATTTGAACAATATAATTACGAAACACACGAAGAACTTGATATATTATTAAGGCATATATCTTTCTTTCCAAAGTCCTTTTAATACTATGGGTGCTCTGGAACGTGCGAAGTTGGCAGTAGAGAAGCATTACGCTGTAGTTGGTGTTTTGGAGGACATGAATACGACTCTCACAGTACTGGAAAACTATATACCGCGATTTTTCCAAGGAGCTACTGACGTTTATTATGGTAAACAATCAGTTAATTTTTTGTTTATTTTAAAATCACATTATTATGATTATTATTGTCATTATTGTTGTTATTATTATTGTTCATGTTGTTACTGTTATTTTTATTATTATTTCATACTAAATTTCTTTTTAGACCAAGTAAATTCTTTCACGAGGATCAATAGAAATTTCTTCAAACCACCAGTTAGCGAAGAAGTGAAAGACCTGGTGCGCGGCAATTTCACCCGTGAAGTCGAATTTTACCAATTCTGTAAGCAACGACTCTACAGACAACATAGAGCTCTAAAGTTGACTTCCACCGCCACTCCGTCCACGAACAACCATCTTTAAAGAAAGAAAATATCGTTGATCTATTATTGTGCAAAACTATTTATATGAAATATTTTTTTGTAGTGATTATACTGTAACAATATCGTGACATCGAAGGTAATCGTTCTCCTGAATGTATAACCTTATCATTCAGCGAAACGTTTCTAAAGTTACGGAGAGACAAGAGCCAACGAGAACATAAGAAGATTCGACGTTTTAAATTGAAGTTATTGTGACGTGGATGCACTGCGCAATCCAAAAATAGAGACGCTTTCGATGAGCGGTGAACAGTTTCAAGCAAACGCGTTACGTTGTTATTTTTTTTTAATGGACGTCTGTGTAAACCTGCCTATGTAAACCGTGAATGTGGGGAGGATTCTGAAGTCTTTAGGAGAATATTTTACGATAAGTATAATATATTAATAGTATTTGCGATAACTTTTTCATTCTGTCGGCGATGGAAGCAATTTCGCAAATACTGTAAAACTACCACGCTTTTCATCACAAGTACTTATAATTACACGGAAAAATATACAATGTTATCGTAGAACATCGCTTTGTAAAACAAAATGTTAAACACGTTTATATTTTTATCGACTTTACAATCATTTAAAATAAAATGCTGCCATTTTAGAGAAGAAACGTCTACTTTAGTTTCCTTACCTATTAATTTACTTATTTTTCTCACTTAACTTGTTATTGAGCGGTATAATATTATTCGACTTGCAGTTTGGAAATATTGCTGAAAAATAAAAAATAAAATATCTTTTGTTACATCGTTAAGTTGTTAATTAATAGATATAAAAGCCCCATCGAATTGCTGTTGTGTGAGTCTATAAGCGATATTTTCAAAATATCTAAATACGTAATATGTAGATATTTGCAAATTACATTTGTGTTAGAGTTTGCCTTAGAAAGCAGTTTGCTTTTATTGTTGCTTTAATCGATTGCTTTGGCTGAATCAAAAAAACAAAGGGAATACAGTAAGCTTAGAACGTTTATATGACGAAATAAAGCGCATCATTAAGTAATCAAACAGAATTCAAATTAGACTGGTCATGAAATAAAAATGCAATCGAAAATAAGTCGAAGAACGCAGTTTGAACATTATTATAATTTTTCTTAACATTTTCGTTTCTAGTAGGACATATTTAACGGGTCAGAAATCTACTTAAAAATAAATTGTTTGAGATTTTGTAAATGATTATGAAACATTTTAATGCATATATTGTACGAGGTCTGTTCAAAAAGTATCGCGAATTTTGAATTTCCACTGGTTACGTATATTCGATTTTCGATTTTTTTGTGGCATTATGTTGGTACTCATGTCCCTCACTTATGCCGACAAGTTCGGCCATTTTGAATATTCAGTTTATCTTTGACAGCTGTTTTGTTTGGACGTGTTTTGGCTCGTCTTCGATTTTTGCCTATTCCAAAAAATGGATCAAAGAATCTGTATCAAATTTTGTGTGAAAAACAAAATTAAGTGCGCGGACGCATTCCGAATGTTGACTGTGGCATATGGTGAAGCTACCTTGGACCGAAGCAACGTTTATCGGTGGTACAAAATGTTCTCAGAGGGCCGCAAAGATGTGAACGACGAAGAGCGTGCCGGACGCCCGAGCACGTCAACAACAGACGAAAACATTGATGAAGTGAAGAAAATAGTATTGGCCAATCGTCGAATCACCGTTAGAGAAGTTGCTGAGGACCTAAGCATATCGATTGGCTCGTGCCATTCGATTTTTACTAATGATTTGGGCATGAGACGGGTCGCCGCGAAATTCGTACCAAAATTGCTCAATTTTGACCAAAAACAGCATCGCATTAACATTGCTGGGGAGCTGTTGGACTCTGTCCGCGACGACCCAAATTTGCTCCAGAGGGTCATAACTGGTGACGAATCATGGGTTTTGACGTTATGGTTATGACGTGGAAACCAAAGCTCAATCATCCCAATGGAAGCTGCCGCACGAGCCAAGACCGAAAAAAGCGCGCCAAGTTCAGTCGAATGTGAAGGTTTTGCTTACAGATTTCTTCGATTGCAGGGGCGTGGTGCATCATGAGTTCTTGCCACAGGGTAGAACGGTCAATAAGGAATATTACCTGCAAGTTATGCGCAATTTGCGCGAAGCAATCCGCCAGAAACTCCCGGATTTGTGGAAGAACAAAATTTGGCTCTTGCACCATGATAACGCCCCTGCTCACACATCGTTGCTTGTGCGCGAATTTTTGGCCAAAATCAACACACTAATGATGCCGCAGCCACCGTGTTCCCCAGACCTGGCCCCCTGTGACTTTTTCTTGTTCCCGAAACTGAAGAGGCACATGAAAGGACGACGCTACGCTACGATTGAGGAGATAAAGACGGCATCAAAGGAAGAACAGAACAAGATCACAAAAAATGATTTTTTGAAGTGCTTCGAGGATTGGAAAAAACGTTGGCACAAGTGTATAATATCTGATGGGGATTACTTTGAAGGAGACAAAATAGATATTCATGAATAAATAAATAATTTTTGAAAAAACACAAAATTCGCGATACTTTTTGAACAGACCTCGTANAACAGACAGAATCGTATATACTATTTGTATAATTCCAACTATGCTGTAAATCAACTGTCATTACTTGAATATTAAAATATAAATAAAACATTAGGTAGTAAAAAGTAACACAAGTAGGTAGTAAAAGTAAATTGTTTCAAGATATTAACTTCTTTTCAATTAATTTTACATTCGACGTTTCTTCATAAAATATAATTTAGATGAATTTATAACATCATGTAACATATCATTTTCATTGTTACAAAAAAGTTTAATATGTTCTAAAAAGATGATATTTCATCTGAATATGCTTGCAATTTATTACCTCCTGGATGTTTTCTCTTACAAAACATAAACACATGTGTTGCTCCGTAGTCTTCTAAACATCAAGAACTGTCCTATCACGTGGTCATGGTGAAACAAAAATTATATTATTAGGACGATTGATCAATTCAAATGGACCAAGATATATTTCATAAAATGATAAATTATTATAAAGATCATTACAACTACTGCAAGTTTTGGCAATTCTCCATGATTGAAGAATAAAGTTGGAGTTTGTTCTTGTGCAAATGAAATGTGATGTCAAAGTTCTTTTATCATAACAACAGAGAATAATCCAAAGCATCAATAACATTGTCAATTGCTACCTTAGTCAGTCCTAACAATTCTTGATGAATAAGTTGTGCCTAGTTTCAGACATTGCTTTATCAGGATAAAATTCTTGAGAAGTATCACTTAATACATCTTTTAATTAAGGAGTTTTCCGCAATATTAGACGGTACACGGTGCTTATATATTTATCTCTGTCTTCCAGGTAAAACATTGGAGGTATGTTATCAAAGTTATTCACTGTCTTTTAGGAGGTTATCTTTTGTTCAAATACTGCCGTATTACAAGTGTCAAATTTATAGACAATTTTGTATTTTTCACGATATTCGCGATGCAGTTACACTCTCACACAGCGTCTGTAACAAATGAGGAAACTCAAGAAATGTCAACATGAGAGAGCGACACTGCCGTTCAACGTTAGAACTTCTATGTGTCCGTCCTTGTCGGTAAGAATGGGTAACACAAAAAAAACTAATCAAAGTGGGTAAGTTAAATTTCTTCAGGTCGATAAGTTTTAGAGAATCGATAAGTTACCAGAATCGATAAGTTTCCGGAGAGCGGTAAGTTACAAGAGTCGATAAGTTCCCGGAGAGCGGTAAGTTACCAGAATTGATAAGTTTCCGAAGAGCGGTAAGTTACCAGAGTCGATAAGTTTCCGGAGAGCGGTAAGTTACCAGAATCGATATGCTTCCTGGGATCGGTACGTTTCCCGGGGCCGGTATGTAACTGTATTGCACATCGCAGAAGCAAAGTGAGGTTCAAAGATTTCAATTGATAGGTTCAAATAAGGATGGTACTTCCGACTTACTCAATGTAAATAATTCATATTATATTCTCCAAGCAATCGACGTNCGTCATTGATGTGCATTACGAAGATCTGAGTAACCTGTGTAATCTCATAAATTTCAAGTGGCTTAGCATTAAGTATGGCAAAAATATCTATGACTAGGACTTTGAAAAAAATATCGGCAGAGCTTCCGGAATAATTTGGCATCTCAGGCTGTTAAAAAATTACTGAGAGAGAATTGGAGAGGCACTGTATAGAATGTTCAATGTGAAGAAATTGATTGTTATAAATCACAACAACCTCTGCTGCCAGAGGTAACTTGTATGATGTTAGAAGATTTAGTACCTGTCTTGGCTTGTGAGAACCCTTGAAAATATCGAAAGATATTAGACAGTATACGTATTAAGTAAGATTACAGTTTGTAATAAAAGTTTCACAGAAATCTCTATTTATATGTAATATATACTATTTTTGTAATTTCTACTTCATTGCAAATCATCTGTCATTATTGGAAAATCATAATAAATAAGACATTATGTAATAAAAGACACAATTTGTTTAATGATATTAACTTCTT